TTCCCTGTATTTCCAGTTCCTATCTGTACCAGTGTACATCCTCTGGTCTAGCCAGACTTGCCAGGTCGAATTCAGTCATGATAGTGGGAGCGGGGAGGAAACATTTAGGAACTAGAGGAAAGTTGCCTTCTTTGTTGTTGCTACATCGCACCCTGACCGGCTGGCCTCCTCCCCGAGACCCCTCTGCAGTGGGATCTCCAGTGGTTCTGGCACCTTTATAGAACAAAAATTACCACAGATAAAGAGAACAGAAATGGATGTTCTATCAACATTTGAAACGAATGTCTTAGAAAAGCTTTCATTGAGTCAGATGTAGTGAACCTAAAATTCACTGTCTTAAAATTTTATCAATCCGTATGCCTTGAATACCTAGTAGAGCCTGTTGACCCATAATGTGTACTTAATAAATATTTTGTATGCTAGGTGATTTTATAATTGATGATTTTGTAAAACAAAGTGTGCTTATAAAAGTTTCACACCTTTGCTGGTCTCTGCAGGTATTTTATGCATGGTGTGTGTCGGGAAGGAAACCAGTGCCTGTTCTCCCATGACTTGGCCAACAGCAAGCCCTCCACCATCTGCAAGTACTATCAGAAGGGTTACTGCGCCTATGGAGCTCGTTGCAGGCAAGAACCTCAGCCCTCCCTTCCCCATGACCCCCAAGTTCCATATCAGAAAGGATTCATGGTTGTCCTGGGAACATGAGAGTTGCTGAGGGGGATAAAAATCACTCAAAAGTAACATGACAGTATTAATAAAAGTATGGCAAATGATTTTATAAACCCAGTTTCAGAACCCTAAAAAGACAGCTCTATAAAATTGCAGCATGGAACATACAGAAGATTTTATATCATGCTCTATTCTCCCATTTAACATGTTAATAACTGCTTCTTACTGTACTTTTTATGTTTCATAATGTTAATATGTCATTTTATTAACTAGTCCTTGGGTAGAAATGGGTTCTAGATTTTTTTTTTTCCAGCAAAAATCACATGTAGTGAACACTTACATGCATGTAGTCTATAAACCAAAAACCATTGGCATTGAATTGCTTCCTATTCATAGCACTTTATTGGACTTTGAGTTTCTAAGACATAAAACTTGAAGGCAGAAAGGCTCGTCTTTCCCCAGGGCTTATTCTTTAGTCTGTATTGTTGACAGGTGCCATTTACTTAGCTCTGGTTCATAGCAGCACTGTGTATAATAACAGTGTCAGAGGTGGGTAACCACTGTGCCAGTCCATCTCCTGGAGGGACTTCCTCTTTCTCGCTGCCCCTCTACTTTACTAAGCATGACGTCCTTCTCCAGGGACTGCTCTCTCCTGACATGTCCAAAGTGCATGCAACGAAGCCTCACCATTCTTGCCTCTGTGGAACAGTCTGGCTGTTCTTTTTCCAAGACAGAATCTGTTCGTTCTTTTGACAGTCCATGGCACTTTCAGTATTCTTCACCAGCAACATACCATGATTCATATGCATCGATTCTTCTTTGGTTTTTCCTTATTCACTCTCCAACTTCCACATCCACATGAGTTGATTGGAAATGCCATGGCTTGGGGCAGACACTTTAGTCCTCAAAGTGACATCCTTGCATTTCCACACTTTCAAGAGGTTTTGTGCAGCATATTTACCCAATGCAATGTGCCTTTTGATCTCTTGACTGCTGTTTCCATGACTTGCCTGTGGACACAAGCAAGATGAAATCCTTGACAATTTCTTACTTTTCTCCATTTATCATGATGTGTTAAGCACAGTTTTATAATTCTAGACAAGAAAAAATTCCAAAAGCCCGTTACAGTGGTTTTGAGATGCTATCCTAAATGAGCATATAATTGATCCCATCAAATATGGTTCCTCTAGAAGCCGCTGAGCTGTCTGGTACGAGAAGGGGCTTGTCACAGGATGACTTAGGCCAACACATGCCCTATCCTTCCCTAGACTGCAGGCTCCCTTCACTTCCTCACTGTGCTTGGGGGGAACCATAGTAGTTGGATCACCTGTCTGTCCATTTCCCAGCTCCTACTTTGGCCATCATCAACCCTGACTTGGGAGTCAGGAAATGTCAGTTGAACATCTCTTTGGAATGTCCAAACTCTGTGGCATCCTACTTTGGCTTTTTAGGGACCAGAGAGCTGAGAGGCTTTACCAATAGATGAACCATTTGTAGATGACAATCCTGGAAATTGGTACCTTAGTGTCCCCCTCAGTAAATGGGGCAGGTATGGGTTTCATGTCTGGGAAAGGAGAGGGTATGTGTGTGTGTGTCAGTGTCAGGTGTGTTGCTTCTTGTCTGGGAAAGGAGGGCATGTTGTGTGTTCACTAACAATTGGATGTGTTTTGTTTAGGTATGATCATACGAGGCCCTCTGCTGCAGCGGGTGGTGCCTCGGGAATTGGGCCCCACAGCGTGCCCTCCCCGGCTTTCCACAGTCCTCAAGCTTCTTCTGACCTCTCTGCAGCTATTAGTAAAACTAGCTTACATGAGCCTGGAAAGCGGGAAAAGAGGACATTGATACTTAGAGACCGAAGTGAGTGAGCAAAACCTTCTCATTGCTTTTTGAAAAGTAGATTTTTTTCCTTCCACCTTACTTATTTTTGATGCTTGTGACCTTCTCTTGTCAGGAGGACTCTTAACTGAATACCCTTTTAACTGTAGAGGCGTCAGGTCTGTTCTGGGAAAGGCTCATGGGGTGGCCGCTTTGAATGTTGCACCTGCCTCATGTCTGAAGCTGAGCTGAGCCTCTAGTTTGTTCAAGGAAGGTGTAAAAAGGGACCCTTTGGCCAGTTGATGAGGATGCACTATCCTGAAGCTCAAGTATTAGTAGAGAGCACATTGCACCATTTAATTTTTAAGTCAGTTCCTACTTAGTCTTTAGGGTTTTGAGACTGCACCCCAGGAAAATAGACCAACACGTTGGAATTTGGGATGTGGTTTCTACTGTAGAACAGGGCTTGAGGGGGAAGAAGGCTGTAAATTGGTATGGTTGTTTTTATTGGCCAGTCCTCGCCAAGTGAAGGGGTTCCTTGTTGGAATAGTGCAGAGTAAGCGTATAAACGCTGAAGACGAATCTGTGCATAAGTAAGTGTGGTGGAGAAGGCTGATGGTGCACGGCTATTGAGAGATACAGCGTCTGGGGTCTTAAAGGCTTGAAAGTAAACAAGCGGTTATCTACCCCAGAAGCAACAAAGCCCACATGGAAGAATAACACCAGCATGTGTGATCACGAAGGGTCAAGGGGACCAGGTATCAAACACCAAAGGGTGGGGGCGAAATTATATCATCGTGAATGAGGGGAGTGTGTGATAGGGACCCAATGCTCATCTGTAGACAACTGGACATCCCTTGCAGAGGGGTAATGGGGAGGAGATGAGTCACTCAGGGTGCAGTGTAGCATTAATGAAACTCACAACCTTCCGCTAGTTCTTAAGTGCTTCCTCCCCCCCACTATCATGATCCCAATTCTGCCTTGCAAACCTGGTTAGACCAGAGGATGCACAGCAGTGCAGATGGGAACTGGAAACACAGGGAATCCAGGGCAGATGAACCCCTCAGGACCAGTGGTAAGAGTGGTGATACCGGGAGGGAAGGTGGGGTAGAAAGGGGGAACCGATCACAAGGATCTACATGTAACCTCCTCCCTGGGGGATGGGCAACAGAAAAGTGGGTGATGGGAGATGCCGGGCAGTGTAAAATATGATAAAATAATTTATAAATTATCAAGGGTTCATGAGGGAAGGGGGCGGGGGGAGGGAAGAAAAATGAGCTGATTCCAAGAGCCCAAGTGGAAAGCAAGAATTTTGAGAATGATGAGGGCAATGAATGTAAGTGTACTTTACACAATCGATGTATGTGTGGATTGTGATAAGAGTTGTATGAGCCCCAATAAAATGATTTTTAAAAAAGGAATAGTGCAGGGTAAGACAGGCAAGTTCTATCCTCAACAAACAAAACTCAGTCCTGGCTCATCTGGTGCCTCTAAGAAGGCTCAGGAATGTGTGTGATGGGCTATCACCTCTGGCATGCAAAAGGGGGTTGCCACAGGACAATTTAACACTGGCTTTGGAACCCAGGTTTTTATCCAAGTTCACTTAAAAAAGAAACGCAAAGAATTGCTGATAGAAAGGAAACTACTGGGTTCTATCGTCCTCATTCTAAATTCCCTCTTGGCTTATCCTGTGCTTTTTACTTGACCTTCCAGGGGTAGAATATAGTGGAAAGAACTTAGGCCTTAGAAACAGGTAAACTTGGTAGCAAGTAAACCGTCTGCAAACTTGGGTTTGTGTACTTCCTTTGTTTACTTCCAGCTGTAGCATAAGGATAACATCTCCCCTCAGGATTATTAAGAGGTTGAAGTGCAATCTTTTAGCATGTTGAATGCCTAACCCAGGACCCAGCAGAGTAACCATTCTGAGATTAGTTATCTTCCTCCATTCTTTCATGCTCAGTATTCCTGGTTTGTAAACTGGTCCATGTGTTGGCATTCCTATACTTGGATTTTAAAACATCTACTTTAATTTTCTATATCAATATATTATGGTATGTTTTGCTATTTTCCTACCTGGACATTTGTGCTTTTCGGCTTTATTATTGTAAGTAGTGCCATTATGAATATTTTATACTATTCCCTTTATTTTTCCTTCTTGACCTGTTTTTTTCTTGTTTCATTTTGTTATATAGTACCAAGAGTAACCCTCAGGGTTGGTTAGGTTTGGGCTCACTGCTTACTGTGTGAAGGTTGGACCAGTGTTCACATGTGTATGCACTGTGTTTGCATTAGATCTCTGTGGCCTGGCTGAAGACAAGCCTCAGGTCCGTGTGGTGAGTAACTCTGGGGTGTACAGCAACCCCCTGAACAGCCTGGAGATGAAGCCGCATTCCTACTTGGAAGCAATCAGGAGTGGCCTTGATGATTTGGAAGCCAGTAGCTCCTACGGCAGCGAGCAGCAGCTGTGTCCCTATGCGGCCGCCGGGGAGTGTCACTTTGGAGATGCTTGTGTCTACCTGCATGGGGAGATGTGTGACATCTGCAGGCTACAGGTCCTGCACCCCTTTGATCCAGAGCAAAGAAAAGCCCACGAAAAGGTAAAGGTGCAAACCTCTGGGTGGCTCTCTTCATGGCCTGGCCGCTGCACTGGGTGACAGTGTGGGCTGCTCTGGGGGCGCGTGTTGGCTGACAGTGGTGTTCACATTACCCACCTGGCGCCTTTACACCCAGGGTTTAAGTTCTCTTCTGTTTCAGTTTGCCCAAAAACAAAAACAAAAAACCCTCTTGACTCTGTTACATAGACTAAAGAAAAGGGGCATCAAAAACCTCAAGCCAATGCAGAATTCAGAAAACAAATCTAGCTCAGGCATGGGCGGGAGGGGGTGGTGGTGGTGGTGTGTGCATGCACACGCACACACTTGAGCGCCTGTCACATGGGAACAGACAAAACACATAAGGTATGACTCACATTGGTGTGACTGGGAGCTTGCTGCAGAGCCAGTTTGGGGCAAAACCTTTAGAAGCAATTATTGATGCAGCATGTGTTGAGGCTGCCCCATGCTCAGCTGGGTGCTAGGAAATAGGCTGCAAAGTAAGAGAATGATTCATTTTAGGGCTAGACACAAATGAGGGGCAAACAGTGCTGAGGGCTTGCTAGGAAAGGCCCCTCTCTGGACAGGCTTCTGATAATGTCTCCAGAGACAGCACCCTGCTCGGTCACTGAGACCATAGAAAGTCTGGCTGGTGGGGATAGCCAGGAGCTGCTGGGGGAGGTGAGTCTGAGTCCACCCCCTTCACGCCTGTTAAGTGTCTAGGTGGGCCTGTAGTTAGAGCACTCCGCTGTGCCCAACCTTGGTCTTCATCTGGTGCTTGTTGGTTTGTCAATCCTCTGCGCGTAGTGCCTCAGCCCAGGGCTAAGGTCTGAGGAAGCTGGCCCACAGTTCTAGCACCCAGCAGGGATGTGGGGCACTTAGGGAAGGAGGGAATGAGTTCAGCAAGCTGGTGGTTTGCTTGAAGTGAGGTAATGCTGCTTACCTGTGACCCTGGACTGTCAGCCTACTGTCTCAGGTCAAGGGCCAGTTGGCATTGCTGCTGCTGTTGGCCTGGCTCAAGAGGGAGAAAGGCACTGCCTGGAGGAAAGGCACTGCCTGGAGCACAGGACCAGGGTTTTAGGCCATCTGAACATTGAACTTAGTGCAAGCCCATGGCAGTCTCCTAAGTTGGGTGGCCTTCTGTGTTTGTGGGTCTGAAATGGAGGTGACTGTCATGCTAGGAAAGCAAAGGACTAGCCCCAGTGATGATTTGAGTGTCTGATCCATGGAAATTTGGGACCCCTGCCTGAAGTGGCTGCTGCCTGAGCTCACTCCACTCCTGTGGCCCAGCATCTGAGAACCCATTCCTCCCCCTCTGTGCTTCAGATCTGCATGGCGACGTTTGAGCACGAGATGGAAAAGGCCTTTGCCTTCCAGGCAAGTCAGGACAAAGTGTGCAGCATCTGCATGGAGGTGATCCTTGAGAAGGCATCTGCTTCCGAGAGGAGATTCGGGATTCTCTCCAACTGCAATCATACGTACTGCTTGTCTTGTATCCGGCAGTGGAGGTGTGCCAAGCAGTTTGAGAACCCCATTATTAAGTAAGTACAGCAGGGGCCTTCCTAGAGAGGGTTGGACCTGGGACTTTGCTCATCCTCCCATTGCCCTCCCAAAGTGTTTTAGTTTAAAAGGTCACTGGGTGAGTCTAGACTTCGCCCCAGCCAGTCTGTGTGAAGATCTTGGCAAGCTGTTTACCCTTCGTGAATCTGAGTGACTTTTCCTGTAAAATAATGGGTAACAAATCCTGCCTACCTTCCAGGGGGCTGGGAGGAGACTCGGTGGAGGAGTCCACATGAAAAGGTGTGAGTGCCATGGCCTGGTGCCCATTTCACAGGCCTGAGTGAGTCCAGTGCTAACTTCTTGGTGCTATGACCATAAACAAAGTGCTTGTTAACCTTTGTGTTACTTTTTCATTTGTAAAATAGGACTATTTGAGGATTAAGTGGCATGTAAATTAATGTCAGGCATTCCACATGCAGCCTACAGAGGATTTGGAACTTCTGCTGGCAGATGGGATGAGCTAACATGTGCTGAGCATTTCCTACATGGCTGTGTGGCATCTTCACATACGTCTCTCTCCTGTCCTCAGAAACCCTCATTTCACAGATAAGAAAAAGAGTCTTATATTTATGTGGTAAAAGATTAGCCTTATTGCAATAAAAGTGTCCACTTTTTTTAGTACAGTGAACCCTCGTTTATCGCGGTTAATCGGTTCTAGACCCTACCGTGATAAATGAAATTCCGCGAAGTAGGATTCCTTATTTGTAAATCAAATATTTTCGTAGTTAGAGCATAGAGGACATGAAAAAACACCCTTTAGTCACCATTACACTCGTATTACCCAATTTATTAAACGAAAAAGAGAAAATACAGTGAAACATTTTGGATGTTACAATTATCATTTACTATTTATTATATTTATGGCATCTAGTTTACAGTATTACATATTTCACATACAGTATTATACATAGTTCTTACAAATACTGTAATCAATAGCCTATGAAATGACTTAAGGGATGTACTCTACAGGTGGGTCGCCGTCTTTTTCCTCTGAAGGAGCGGGTGTAGGCAGTGGGTTTCTGGGTACACGTTTAAGAAACATTGTGATTGGCAGTTGCCGACATTGTCTCTTCATTTCAGTGAAAAGGTTTTTGTAGGGTTCCATTGCCCCATCGAGTGCATTCCGGAACCGTAATGCACGATTCATTTCTGGATCCCATTCTTCAATCGTGTCCTGAACTTTGATTGTTCTTAACGATATGCGAGAGACGCTCCATTGTGAGACCAACTAACTCCTCAAAATGCATCTGATACGTAGCTCCGATACGTAGCGGTGCAGGCAGAAGCGTGTACAGTATGAGCCAATCAGTGGCAGTAATGACAGAGCATGCGCTGTTACGCAAAAACCGCAATAGAGTGAAGCCGCGGAAGTCGAAGCGCGAAGTGGCGAGGGTTCACTTTATACTCATATTTTGTAACTATTATTACAGTCTAACTTTGGATAATTTTTAATCTCCTCCAAAAGAAACCTCCATTGTCGGTGCCCATTCCCTCTTCTTCCTGGCCCCTGGCAACTATTCATCTATTTTGTGCCAATATACATTTATTATTTTGGACATTCCACGTAGATGGAATTCTGTCAATATGCAGTCTTTCTACTCAGCATAGTGTTTTCAAGGTTGTACACTCAATGTACAGCATGAATGACTTCATTTGTTTTATTACTGAGTTTTGTTTAGCCCTTACTCAGGTGACACACTTTGGGTTGTTTCCACTTTTGCCTCTATCAGTCATGCTGCTGTGGTCATTGCTCTAGGAGGTAGGTTTTCATTTCTCTTAGGTATAGACCTAGGAGTCAGATTGCTGGGTCACATGGTAATTGTTTCAGATTTTGAGGAACCAGTGAACTATTCCACAATGGCTGCACAATTTTAAATCCCTACCAGGTTCCAACTTCCCTGCATCCTCTCCATCATTTGTTACTGTTGGTATTTCTGATTATAGTTATCCCTGTGGATATGAAAGCCTTGGTGGCACAGTGGTTAAGCACTAGACTGCTAACCGAAAGGTGGGCAGGTCAAGCCCAGCAGTTGCTTGGTGAGAGAACAATGTGGCATAGAGATTTACCGCCTTGGAGACCCTGAGAAGTTGTTTCCTAGTGTCGCTGTGCATCAGAATGGCAGTGGATTTGGGTTGGGCTTTAGTGGCTATGAAAATGGTATGTTACTGGTTTTGATTTGCATTTTCTTAATGACTAATGGTGTTGGGGTGTGTGTGTGTAACCATTTAGGAGTAAGGCTTATTTAAGTTCTAGGCTCATTTTAAATTGTTCTATTTTTTTATAAGAACCTGTTTTTAATAGGGGTACTGTGGATTAACGTGTTGAGCTGCAATCACAAGATTGGCAATTCCAGCCCACCAACCGCTCCTTTGGAGAAAGAGCAGGCTGTCTGCTCCCATGAAGATTTTTAGCCTGGGAAGCCCCCGGGAGTCCTTCTCCTCGATCCTACAGGATCACTATGAATCCAAATAGACTAGACAATGGTGGATTTTGGAGTTTTAAGGTTCTTAAAATCCAATATGTCTGAGGAATGTTTGGTTAAGATTATGGCTGTGCATTTGCGCTGAGCAAGGGGTTTGTAACTTAATTTTATCCTCATTCACCTGCTTCTTATTTCAGGTCTTGCCCAGAATGCCGTGTGATATCAGAGTTTGTCATTCCAAGTGTGTATTGGGTAGAAGATCAGAATAAAAAGAATGAACTGATTGAAGCTTTCAAACAAGGCATGGGGTAAGTGGTCCTAGCACCTGCAGACTCTGGTTTCCATCCTTGTCATCACCTGTATCACTTACATTCATTCGACCAATATCAAGGGAGGAGCTAGGTATATGACAGCCTTTTTCTACTTGCTTAGGAGTCAACACTGAAGAAAGCAGAAACCCCGGCCCTCATGCAACTTATATAATAAACAAGCTAAATTGTGGAAATGATCAGTGCAAGGAAGAGAAGTCAGAGGGTGGAGGACATAGGGCAAGGGCAATTATCTGAGTATGGGAGACCAGAGGCCGTGTCAGTGAGGTGACATTTGAACAGAGACCTGGAGGAGGTGAAGCATTCCAGATGAAGGAACAGAACAGGCAGTGCAGAGACCAAGGCAGGAACTTGTCTGGCTTGTTTGTTGCAGCTAAGAGTGACTAGATGATACTGCAAGGAGAGGATATTGAAGATGAGGTCAGCAGGAAATGAGTAAGGGGCAAATTATTGTAGGAGCTATGGCGGGCACCTCTGAGGGGAGTGGTGAGGTTTATGGAGATGCGCAGTCTTGGAAACCCTAGAGAACAGTCCTCTCCTCTAAGGTGACTCCGAGCCAGAATTGGCTTGATAGCAGTCGTGGGTTGTCATTTTGGAGGTTAGACATTTTATTCTGAATTAGATGGGAAGCTGTCAGTTTTGATCAGAGGAGTAATGTGATCGGATTTATATTCTAAAAGGATTGCTGATTGCTCTGGAATGACGAGGGCAATGAATCTACAAATGTGCTTTACACAATTGATATATGTATGGATTGTGATACGTCGTATGAGCCCCTCATAAAATGATTTTAAAAAATTTTGTACAAGTCCCCAATAAAATGATTTTTTTAAAAAGAGAAATATTTCAAAATATATAATTACAAAAAATAAAGGGATTGCTCTGGCTGGTCTTAAGAATATAATAAAAGAGGAGGCAGAGATGGCGAGACTGGTTAGACCCTCACAGCCACATCTTGACAGTGACTTGGACGAGGGTAGTAGGGAGTCGACGAGGTAGTGAGAAGTGGTTGCATTTCTGGGTATTTTGAAAGTACAGCTAGAATTCACTGACGTGTAAGTATGCTGTGGTGAAGATTCCAGTTACACTTCCATTTCTTTGCAATACGTTTTCTCTGTGTTGTCAGTTTCTACATCGATTTCCCATTTTTGTAAACTGTCTAGTGCAGTGGTTTACAACCTTCCTAATGTCGCGACCCTTTAATACAGTTCATTTGTGGGGACCCTCCCTCCCCCAACCATAAAATTATTTTCGTTGCTACCTCATCACTGTAATTTTGCTACTGGTATGAATCGGGCAACCCTGTGGAAGGGTCGTTGAACCCCCAGTGGGGTTGTGACCCACAGGTTGAGAACCACTGGTCTAGTGGCTCTCACTGGTGGGCTGCACAGTTGCACACATTGCTCGCTGTTGTTTACTGAAGAGCAGGTGCAGTGAATAGTTACTGATGGACTTTGCCAGAAAGTGACCTGGTTTTTTAGGATCACATGGCAATCTCTTACATGGTGATTGTGGATTGAGGAGTCAATTGCCATTTATCTTGTACTTTAGGTACTGTGGTAATTGAATTTGCACTCTGTTGAGAAACAAGTGTTTAAACTGTGGTACCAGAGTTTCCTCAATGTGCCTTAACAGCTGAGTAGAAACTCGGTGGTTTAACGTGGCAGATATTCTCACTTAGGGAGATTAGAAGTCTGAAATCAATGTGTCAGCCTGGGTTGGCTCATTTTGGAGGCTCTGAGGGTGACTCTATTCCATAGAGCTTGGCAGGTCTTGGCATATTCCCCACTTATAGCAGTAGTCAGTCACTACATCCTCTGGCTTCATCACAACATGGCCTTTTCCCGTGTCTTCTCACTCCCCTATCTTATTACAAAGGAGCCCTGGTGACCCTGTTTGTTATGTAGGCATCCGACTGCTGACCACAAGGTTGGCGTTTCATACCCACCAGCCACTGTGGGAAAAAGATGAGTTAAAGCCCATAAGATGTATTGTCTGGGTTGTGACTGGATGGCAGAGGGTTCGGTCTTTTGTAAAGAAAAGTGTCATTAGATTTAGGACTCAGCAGGCTCTTGAAATCCCTACGTAAATCTGTGAAGACCCATTTCCCCAATACTTTTATATAGTAAGTCCCTGTGCATTAAATAAATATGCATCCATCATAAATCCCACAATAGGAAATTTTTGCCTTTAAGATAAACTTGTATTTGTTTTTAAGAAGGGAGGAAAGTTTGTAATTGGGTTTTTTTTAAAATAAAAATATTTATCCAGATCTATTTCCAATGCTCTTTATTCCTTCCTTCCATACCATTGAATATCCTTTCAGCCTGAAGAGCTACCTTTAAGAGCGTTATCTGCTTTATCTCTTTTAGTAGCTAGCAATGAATTCTCTTGACTTTATTTCATCCTCAAAGATTATGTACATTGTTCTACATAGTCTGCTTATTGTCACTTCAACAAATAAAATGCTCAGTTGTTTGCTTTCTTTGGGCACTTTGCAAATGCTGTGCCATTATAATCTTGCCTCTGTCATTTCTTATGGCAGGTCAGTGGTATCTCAAATTTTATCTTGGGCCGCTCTCAAATTTTTCTGTTCTGATTTTTGGCACTCTAGTATTTTGCCTGAGCATGCTTTTCAGATTATACTGCTTGGTATTCTGAGTGTCTACATTTCTGTTGTCCTAAAATATTTTTTTGCCATGTGATTAGAACTTTCTGAGGTTCTAATCACATGCCATATACTTTGATATTGCCCTACAATTCTCTGACATTTATTTTTTTTCCTGATTTTCAAGATTTGATGGTTTCTATTGATCGACAGGGGCTTCAAAAAGTTGTGGAACACTGGAGTTAAAAGAAAATGGAATTTTCCCTTGAATTTCCTAAAGTTACTAACTCTTCTTTCATATTTTGTCTGCTCTTAAGTTCATCAGTGAATTTTTCCCCCAGATATTTTTCAAGCTTTGCATATGGCCCTTTTTTCTCATTTCTATTTCTCCTCAGTGATTTCTTATCTTCTCATTCATTGAATATTTATCTCCCATGCCTTTGAACATATCCCTAGCAGCTGCTTTAAAATCTTATCTTGAAGTTGGTCTCTGGGTCGCCTTTTTCTTATAAATGGGTCCTATTTGGCAATTCATGTATTTTACATTGTACTCTAGACATTATAAGGACTACTTGTACTAGAGTCTGTTAGGTTCTTCAGTTCAGTGTTGATGTTTCCCTTTTAGCAGTTGAATTGCTTGGACTCAAACTCTTGGGGAGCAGTTGAAGTCAGTTTGGCTGAGTAGCCTAGTTGCACTGAGCCTGCCACATTCACGTGTGATCCTGGCTTAGGCAGAGAGCTGGTAAGGTTCAGACACAGTATTTGGAGCACTCTCCTGCAGACCCATTTCTTTGGAGGATCTATCTCTTCACTTTCCAGTGGCCGTGCTCACCTCTTTTCATTCATTCAAAGACTGAATGTTCCATTCCGTTTTAGCCACTGCATATAGCCTGCTCTAGGCTAACAGCTACTCCGTTAAAAAAGGTAATTCCCCTTCTGGTTGTCTGCTCTTCTGATGACTTTCCTACCGTTGTTTACTTTCCAGTGCCTCGGGTCTCTTATGAACAGTTGTGTTGATAGTTATTTGAAGGCAGGTCTATCTAATTGAAACGTGCTTGACCATACTGGAAGTGACACTGTGTTACCTTTAAAAATGGCTCCTTTACCTTGCCATACTAGTTACCGAAGATTTGGCATTTGCCCATTTACAAGTTTTCTATCTTGTGTCCACCAGAGGGCAGGCATGGCAAAGCAGTGGAGTCCTGGCCTGAAGAAAGGAACTTTGCAGGAGACAGTTCTCATGCTTTATTGTTATTTGGGCCTCTCCTGGCCATGGTTCCTTGAGAACTGTTTTTAATGTGCCCCACCATTTACTGAGCACCCAATATGGACTACACACCATCAAGCTAAGCACCGATGGAGTGGTTGGGAAAATTCTAAAGAGATTAGTAAAATAATTTCCTGGGAAATTACAAAAAAACAATTACGATATTATCTTTCTAAAGTCCCAACCAAGGTTTATGTCACAAAAGCACTACCTCAGAGTGTAGGGGAAGCAGTCCGAGGACCTGGTTCCCTGAAGCATGGGCAGCGTGTCGCATGGAGAGCCAGGGGATAGAACAGCATCCGCATAGAAAGGTGCGCAGTTTGTTTGTGGGGCTGAAACATGAAGTGCATAGAAAGATGTGTTGGGAATTGTAGGGCCACAGACAGGAGACAGATTGAAGTCAAAGTCTCAAGAGGGCCTTGAATACCAGCCTGCCAGTGATTTAAAAAAAAAAAGTTTAAGGTGTCTAATCAGAGACCTACTGTTTTGGGACACTATGCATTATTGTGGGGGTAGTGTGACAGGACTAGGGTTTAAGTTTTTGGGCCTAATGAGTTTACACAGGCAAGTGGCCTGGGGTATCCCAGTGTTGATGTCCACTTGACACTGGACATCGTGCCTCCCTTTTGCTGAAGGTTCAGGGTTTTGCTCAGAGACCATGGCAGATGCCTGGCTCAAGTATGCGCTTGCTTGGACACACTCCCCAGCTACCTGTGTTAGAGCCAAACCTCAGGAGGAAGTGCCAGGCAAGCACCTACCGATACTGCTCCGAACTTGACTTCAGCCGACTTCACCAGTAAGCACTGCCATTCCCATGTCTGAGCAAGCGGAGAAGTGGAGGGAAGGACTCCCCTCTTGGTCGTCCGCCACCGGTGCACACCAGCTGCCTCGGCAGCAGCAGGCCATTTCCAGGTGACCTGGTTTTATCTTTGCAGCCTCTTCCTCCTCAGTATTCCCAGGTAGCTCTCTAGCTTTTTTTTTTAATTTGGGATAATTTATGATTTTACGAGCTAAATTTCATTGAAATAGGAAGTCTATATTTGGTAGTTGAGTTTCCTTTGAAGTAGGGTCCCTGGATACAATTTCGATAGGTAAACTTAATTTTACACTTTTTGACAAACCCACTCCTATCTAGTCGATGCCGGCCCATAGTGATCCTATAGGATAGGGTAGAGCTGCCCCTATGTTTCCGGGACAGTAACTGTTTGCAGGAGTAGAAAGCCCTGTCTGTCTCCAGAGGAGCGCTAGTGGTTTCAAACTGCTGACCTTTCTGATCGCAGTGAAGGCATAACCACTACATGCCACCAGTGCCAGATACCATACACTTAATCCTGCATTATGGCTTTATAATATAAAAGTTTTTCATTGCCAGAGGGCCTTGAGTAACTTATTTTCTAAAAAGGGGGTGGCAGGATACATACTGTTTGGGAACCTGTGAACTGGAAGGTGCCCAGCTACCATTACCAGTTGTTCTGGAAGGGTCTTGGATAGACAGAGAAAAATGTAGAGTAAAACTCAAAATCATAAAAAATAAAGAAGACCAGGCTTACTGGTCAGATAAGAGACTGGCTGAAGCCCTCTAAGACGATGACCTTTAGTTACTCGTCAGGTCTTAACTGAAGTCACCTCCACAGCTCAATTTTCAGCCAAATAAACAACAAACAGGTCTGTAAGGGAGACAGCAACTAGTGAGGTACACATACCTTAGACTAATCAATCGGTTGAGATAATTTAGCTATGGACAAATTTCAAAAGGGCTAGGAAAGGAGAAATGTAAACAGGAAACAGAAGAGATAGGATAAATGATGTTCCTTAGCCCCTGGGTGCTGACCAGAAAAGTATAGTTGCCGCAAGGAGAGTCCAAGCGTCCTGGAAGGCTTAGCACTGCAGACTTGGAGCATAATCTACTCTGCACATAGGCTCAAGTTCTCAGAGGCAGCCTGTTAGAGTGGGAATATTATCCGGCTTGGGGATTAGGATGCCAACTGATTGAGACTTCAAAACGTTCATAGAGAAATTTGATTATATGTTAATTCCACCTTCTTATCTGACTTTAGATAAGTCACTCGGCCACTCTGCGCCTTTCCCTGTCATGTGAAGCTTTCTTAATTCTTGCATCATAGGCAGGCGTGAAGGGTGTTCACATGGGCCCCAGATTCTCTCACTGTGCTCGTCTTTCTGTTGTAGGAAAAAACCTTGTAAATATTTCGAGCAAGGCAAGGGGACCTGCCCGTTTGGAAGCAAATGCCTTTACCGCCATGCATACCCTGATGGGAGGCTTGCAGAGCCCGAGAAACCCCGGAAGCAGCTCAGCTCTGAAGGCACCGTGAGGGTAAGGGCCTGGCTTTTTTGTTGTTGTTCAGGAGCACTTAGCTATGGACATTTCCAGATACCGTTCCTGACTTCTGCTCTGAGCAAGTGGCTTTGGCAGCAGGGATTGGGGTAAACAAAAGGCACCAGAGCCTTCACGTTGCTTTTGGCAATAACCAAGCATGTTTTCTGGATGTTGTTGCAGTTCTTTAATTCCGTGCGGCTCTGGGATTTCATTGAGAACCGAGAAAGCCAGCACATTCCCAACACTGAAGACGTCGACATGAACGAGCTTGGGGATATCTTCATGCACCTCTCTGGAGTAGAGTTTTCAGAGCCCTAAGGAGTAAATGGTTGCCCCAATGCATCTTGGGACTGAGGCTCCCAAGTGAGGGCCTGTAGCTCCCTGTCTACAGCACTAGGAGGCGTGCTTGTCACTTGGGTTTGAGTGGGTTCATCTTAGCTTTGGCCTTCTCCATGATTATAGCCTTGACACAGTGAAGGATATAAAATTACCTAACTAGTGTATGGCCAACTGTCTTCCAGTTATCTTAGATGTATTTCAAACTCCTACTGGCTGAGTTCTGACTGAAAGCTTTACAACAAACCTAGTTCCTCTGCTTCTTGCTTCCCCAGAAGCAGTGAACTTGTAGTAGTGGGCAACACAGCCAATTCCTTTTTCTTACCAAAGGATCCTTCTTCACTTGTGAAAGGATTGCTCTATAGTGAATTTCCCTAGTGTAGGTAAATAGTGTATGGTCAAAAAAAAAATTAGACTAAATGTAAAGTGGGCCCTTCACACTTATAGTGTAAGACTGCAATACTCAAAAGCTCTTTAAGTTCCGGCAGTCGAAGACCAGTTGTTACTTTCAGGGCAAAGCCTTCTAGTCACCATGAGAGTTGTGTATATGGCAAAGCTGGAGGATGAGAGGCTGTGTTTCCAGGGAGAAGAGTAATCTTGTTGCCCTGTGCCCTGTAAGGGCAGCTCTTGAAGTGGCAGGCAGTCCTGGGAGGAAGCGTGGAAGTACAGCCCACTGGGCTTGCTGTACTTCCACTCCTTCAAGGGACTAGCCCCAATTCCTGCCTCAGCTTTTTGGATGCAGGCTGGGGAGGTGGCTGTGTGGAGGCTTCCACACACACATGCTCTTCTGTGGTGGGGGTAGGTTAATACTCAAGCTGTTTATTCCCGCCCACACAGCCTGGAACTCCAAGGCTTAAAACTTTTAGTTCAGCAGATCAATTGGGACTGTAATTGAACATTAGTATGATCTTGAACACGGGATCTATTTTTATAACAAGCCATAGATACCAATGTTTTTTAAAGTGTGGGTAGAAAAAGATCTACTTTTACCGTCGAGCTTAGAGTGCTTTCTATTTAGTTTTTAAGACAGAGGCTGAAGTAAAGTTGCTCCCAGCCTGTGCTCTGGATTCTCTGCTCCAGAAGGTAGCACTGATTTATAGCCCATCCCTTTTAAGGGAGGGGGCAGTGGAGCAAGGGTGTCAAGCTATGAATTCAGTGATACTTAAATACTTTCAAAGGAGGTAACAGCCATTAAACCTAAATTTAATTTATTTTTATTAAAATAACATAATTGAAGAACCATAGTATATAGTAACTGTATTTTGTCAGGCGCAATAAAAACAAAATTAAAACCCAAATCATCAAGAAAACCTGTATTCTTGGCTTCCTTGCACACATGACTGGAGACAAGGCTGGCTCTGGTGCCCCACCCCATAGGGGCAGCTCCTGGAAGACTGCTCCCTGAGAGGGCAGAGACTAGGAGGGCAGGTCAGTCACCTCACCTGGAGACTCAGGCTGGGTAAAAGACGTTTCCCCAAAATGAAGTTCCATCGTACCACAGCAGGCTCCTTCAGTCTCGACAGTCCTGGTCTGTTTGGTGCATTATGTGCAAAACTACTTGTTTGGTGCCTTGCCACTATCCCTTTGAGGAGAAGTCCTTCCTCTGTTAAGCATTCCTCATAGGAGCTTATTTCCAAAATTCATGTGTCCTCACATCAGGGCTAGATTGCCTGCTACCTTCATTCACCTGCCCCCACCCCCTCTGGTGGTCTCGCCCTCATTTAGCCAACAGCTGGGGGCCCCAGATGATATATTGCCAACAGCATCCACTTTTGCATCTGGGCAGGCCTGGCTCAGAGCATGGGAGAAGGGAGCAGGACAAACCAGCACGGTGAATGGCTTCTCCCAGGGCCAGAAAGGGTAGAAAAGAAGGCAACATGAAGTTAAGGCCCTGTGATTTGTCTAGAGGTCCTTAGCAGCAGCTTCTTTGAAAACAAGTTTTGTCCCCATAGAAAAAGGAGAAGATTGGTGCTTGCTGACTTGACTTCCTTCCTTCCCTGGTGGCGGGGGTGTGCAGGGGCAAAATCCAACTAGAAGACAGGCAGCCGAGGGGATGTGGTCAATGTGCAGGTATTGATATCCTCAGTGTGGGCTGCCCGGTGCAGAGATGGCTCAGAAGCGCTCCGATTGATTTTTGGGAGAGAGTGCTGGAGCAGCTCAATGGAAGACAGGATCTGAAACAATGCCACAGGCGGTCTGGTTAGGTAGGCTTGCTGTCTCAGCAACAGCTTTAAATAGGGTCCAAAGACCCAGTCTATTCCTTCCTGGTCCCAAGCGTAGAACAACTTGTGAAAAACAGTTTCTTGCCACAAAACCAAACCCACACACCTGCTCCCTATGTATTTCTGTCGTGAACTGCTTTAGTGTAGTTGCCAGCCCCTTTGAGCCAAGTCTTACCTGGGGGAAGAGAGGCCTTTCCTCCTTAACTTTCTTCACACAGTCAGCTACAAGCCTTTTCATTGCTTTCGGGCAGTTCTTGTATAATTTACTAAGATCTGGGGAAGCATACCCTCTGCCCACCATGAAGATGATCTGAGAGAGGAAAAGGAGCAGAAAGGATTGCTAGATGAACACCATAGAAAGCAAACACCTCTTTGAGCCCTCTTGCTTAAACTGGTAGAAGACCTGGGAGTTCCCACTTAGCAGCTGGCATGCACTTACCTGATCCCGGTTGTTGATATGTGAGTAGGGAAGCTCCCCTGTCATCAGTTCATACAATACAATGCCATAGGAGTAGACATCAGACTGGAAGCTGAATGGGTTATTGTCCTGCATCCGGATCACCTCTGGGGCCTACCAGGACAAAGTATCATCATTGTCTGGGATCCACAGTCATCCAAGGGCCACTGGTCTTGCCATTAGTAAAAGTCTAGCTCTCAATGCCTCTATGGTTAGTCATTCCCCAAAGGCTCCGACTCAAGGGGTCCGTCCCACTTTTGCTATCACTCCATCTGTGAACAACTGCACTCTTCAGCCTCTCCTAGCCCAGACTGGCCCCAGTTGATCCAGGAAGCGAACCTAATAACCTGTGGTCATGTGCACTTGGGAGAAAAGACAGAAATCCTCGAGTTTATAGACCTCCCGGGTCTTCCTCCTACCCGGCAGGGGGAGAGAGCTAGTGAGAGCCTCCGATCCTCACCATCCACAGGACAGAGCCGGTAGGTTGTTCAACCTGCTGAGAACCGCTCCAGCGTGACTTCACTGTTGCCAAACCAAAGTCTCCAATTTTCACTGTTAGGCCTTCATGGAGAAATATATCTCAATGCTTGTTAAGGGCTCTGGCTTCAGAAATAATGGTTGACATTTTGAAAGTCTTCCCAGTAATCGCTCTACCTCACATCTGCTCAGCCATACACTGCACTGAATTTGCTAAGTTTTTAAAAACGACTTCTGAAATCCTCTTATTTCCCAGATGATGTGACCAGAAACAAGCTAAACTTTCCCCTCTTTGCTCCATGTACATCTCTAGTTGCCTCGTGACATTGCCACAAAATGAGGTGCCTTTAGCCCAAGGCCAAACCACCACTTGGTTCCTTGAGGTGCCTGGCATGGGCCACTGGCTGCTGACATTCTGTCTGCCTGCACAATGCCCTCAAGAGAATGAACTGAACTCAAGTGGATAATAAAACAGCAAGTCAAAAAAAGTTTTTTTAAAAACCAGCAAGTCCTTGAATGTTCTAAGAAACCTCATTTGGAGAAGAAGAAAAAAAAAAACCCTCATTTGAACAGGTACCAGTTGGCAACTGTGATCAAAAGCAGTCACCTTACCTTGGGAAAGTTAAGTTTAAGGCAGACTTGGAGATCTGCCCAGTGATTGAAACACCTCCAAATCTATGGTGTGTGCTTTCATGACAATGTTGTACACCCCAACCCACTACCAAGATGTGTCCCGTGTCTCAGGCAAAACCCAAAGTAGACTACAGTCCATAATCCAACTTAACATGCTACATCTCGTGCCTCATGCTAGCCAAGAAGTGCAGTCTAGCTGTAAGGCCACATTCCTTCCAAATGGAAAGACGGAAGCGGCAGCTCAAAAAGCTTTTCCCTTGGTTTTAACTTCATGCTTTTTTTTTTTTTTAACTTCATGCTTTACAGCATGAAAAAATACCACTCAAGTCTTAAAAAGGGGGAAAGAGCTGTTTCTAATAGTGACCTTTAAGGAAGTCAGTAGAAAAGGCTATCGACAAAGCCACCTTTGTTCAGATAAATTTTTTGTTTTGTTTTTTAAAGGAAAAGTCCTATTCATACCATTCACATCATAATTTGGGTGGTAACAGAAGACACCAAATTTTGTTTTTCAAAAACCTAAAGTTCTGCTTTTACTTATCTTTTGCCGCCTGCTAAAAAGGTTTCTTCTGGCACCAAGAACAACTGAGAAGCCTTCCTTCTCTTTTCCTAAATTTAGATCTAAGCAATTCAACAACTAAAGGATACTGTTGGATTTCATGTCTCTGTGGATGATGTTCTTAGCATGCAAATAGCTGTGAAGGTAAAAAGAACTCTTATTAGAACCATTTGAAAGGCATGGGTAAGCAAGCAGTTGGGGTTTTTTAAATCATTTTATTGGGGGCTCATACAACTCATCACAATCCATACATACAGCGTGTCAAGCACTTTTGTATATTTGTTTGCCTCATTCTCAAAACATTTGCTTTCTACTTGAGCCCTTGGTATCAGCTAGCAAGCAGTTCTTAACTACAGCTTAAAAACAAAAATGCTAGCATATATAATTTTGCAACAGCAACCACCCCCAAAAAAATGTTATATATGAATGTATATATTTGCATATATACATGTCACTATATTCATGCGCGTGTTCATATAGAAAAAGCACATAAAAGTAGTTATGGTTATTTTTTAGATATAACTAAACACTGCAGGACTGCATTTCTGAATGTGAAGCCTTAGGACCATACTCCCACAGGACAACTGGGTCAGTTAGGATAACAAGTTATAAAGTTTATGTTCTATATCCTACTTTGGTGAGTAGTGTTCAGTCTAAAAGCATGCAAGCAGCCCTCTAAGATAGTTATTGGTCTCATCTTGTCCAGAGCAAAAGGGCAGAAAGGGTATCAATGATTCAATGAATAGTTTACAGGAGTAATAAATCTACTCTGTGGATCAGAAGAACTAGGTGGTACCCGGCTATCACTAATGACTGTTCTGATCAAGGTTACAATAGATAAACCCTGATTTAGAATGGCAGAAAAATGTGAAACAACAAATTAAGAAGTCTGATGATTCCCCGCCCCCAAGAGCGAGATCATAAACTTGGAACTGAAACAATCTTCCTGCCAAGGTCACCTTTATTTAAACACAAAAATATTACCAGTGAGCACTGTGCCCTTTTAAAAGTTTATCCCTATGAGACCAAAGGATCAGCAATCACTCTAAAACGAAGATTAACGGGTAAACAAAGCATCCAGAAGAGAATGAGACTATTAAAGCATTGTGGAAAATGTAACCAATTTCTGTGAACATTTTGTGTAGTAATTGTTAAATGGGAAGCTAATGTGAGGTGTAAGCTTGCACTGAAAATACCAAGAGGTATTTTCACCAAAGACACAGAGCCATCTGAATGTATTGCTCCCAATGAAGCAATACCTACAGGGCTTGGGCAGGAGTTCATCCAAGTCATCTAAGCCACAGCATATCCACGATGATACCTTTTCATCAGTTGCACTCAATTTATTCAAAAGCAATTCTGACAACTGATTATGATGATATATCCATATACTTGAGCATCATTCAACCACAGAAAGGAATAAAAAATTCATTTTTAAACATTAAGTGAATGAATGCATTTTTTTAAAAAACTACATATTATATGATTCCATTATACGAAACGTTAAAGATGGATCTTCAGAAAGTTCATGGAAAGATGGAATTAAAAGATGAAAAAATATTTAAACTTTATTTTGCAAATTGATGTGGATGGTGTGCTGCTGTGTGTTTCATCTTCAACACGGTCGTGTCCCTTCTTAAAACATGCTGTCCACTTGTAAACTTATTTCTTTGGGGTATTGTCCCCATAAACATTTTCTAAAGTATCAATGATTTTACTATTTTTCCACGTAAGCATCATCATAAATTTATGCTTGTTCTTGCGTCAATTTTAGCAGAATTCATGTTCCATTGATAAAAGCTCTTTTCAAACTGGTTATTTTTATCCTTCTTAGTGCTTCAAGCTAGATCCTGTTCAGACATAACAAATTAGTACAAGCTTATTTCTGGTGCAAACTAATTTTGAAATCCAAGCATGGTATTTCAGTATAGGCATTTCCTATGAACTTTTTGAAGACCCATCCATCATAGACAAATTCATAAAGCTACAAAGTAGATTAGTGCTTGCCAGGGGCTGGGGAAAGGGCAACAGAGTGACTGCTATGGGTGATGAAAATGTTCTGGAATTAGATTTTTATGGCTTTATAATTTTGTGGACATACTAAAAATTACCTAATTATATACATTTTAATGGTGTAAATCCTATGCTATGTGAATTATATTTCAAAAAATTCTAAAGTCATTTTGACTAGTTATTTAAGAGACGCAGAATGCAAATACCACTCAGATATTAAAGATAATACACAATAATTGTATTTACACTCCTGAGCGCAACTTTATTTTAGCCCCAAGACATCTGGGGATGTGAAGTTCTATGAAAAGCTTTAAGAAACACTGCCCTGGGCTATCAAGAAAGGAATCTATCTCTTTACCCACATTTCACTGAGCAGTATGTCATCAAAGATGAAGAAAGATAGTAACAGAGGAGGAGCTAAAAATGATGCTTCAATCTTTTCTAAAAGGAAAACAAATTATCCCAAAAGTGCCATATGATCAATCCTTCCCATGGAACAAACACATGTGCTCATGGGCTATGCCTGGCACCTGATGCCTGAAGAGGGCATTGCCAACCAATCTAAGCTGAAGTTGGCTACCGCACTGAGTTACCTGAGTTCTGGTCAGATCTTTCAGGTTGGAACTGAATTGGAGCTCAGAAGGGAAATAGCAACCAGACTATTTCATTCTTGGTAGCTGGTCCACTCCAACCCACTTAAGCGGTTTATTTTCAGCTGTGCAAATACACCACAGAAATCCCTAAACAGACTAGGTGGTTTTTCCTAATTTTGGTCCTGTCTTAGGGATGTCAATGCTTAGGCACAGGAAATAGTCATAATGTCATCTACTCACTCCATTCCCTGAGCCGTCTGCCGAGCAATGTCAATCAACTGGAACATCTGGAACTTGGTCTCCTGGACATGCAGGTGTTTGTAAAGACTGCTGCCTTCACACCACTGGGTCACAATTGCCAGATTGTCCTTTGTCATGTATCCCATGAAAAGCAAGATGTTTACGTGCCGTGTTTTACTGGAGAGGGAGAAGAGAAAAGTCTCTAAACCCTCAGTTACTTCAGAACAGGAAGAGGTGCTCTGCTTGCCTTCAACATCCGATCCTCCATCATGCTCACGACTGGAGGCAGCTAGCTGGCAGAACAAACTGGAGAAATCTAATTCTGCTGGTGTTCTGAGCAAACCAAGGGTCATCACTAGGCCAATTCGGTGCTGGTCTTGTTCATAAAGAAGTCAGTCTCTCTTATCAGTGTATAATTAAGACTCTCCCACAGGCTCATGGGACCCCTTAGTTGTGCAATCCAGCACTAGTCCACTCGTTCCAAAAAGTCTCGGCAGTGACTCAAATTTGAGAACTGAAGTTAATAAAAGTCCAAAGGAGGCAACCTGACTATAAAATGTACTTTTGGAAATAAAAAACAAATATATTTCTCCGTACCTCAAACCTGTACTGTGCCCACACCCCTAAAACTACTGGAAGAGGATATTTCTCATGAAAATGACATGCTAAAGGTTTGACTGCTATGTAAACTGAACACTTAAGAGGCGCTTCCAACAATAGGAACTCCAGTTAACCCTAACCAACCAAACACCCGCCCACCCTGATTGCTGCATCATCATCTTTGCTCCTTTCACCTCACCCCACCACTTCATGGGTTGGCCAGAACTGGCTAGATAGTTCTACTCACCGCAGGACAGCCACCTCATTCCTAAAGGCTTGGAACTGCTCAGGTGTCGGGTCAACGACCTTGAGGATTTTTACAGCAACATCTCCTGCAAATTATTTTGTAGTCAAAGCAATCAGTTAACCTTTTGTTATTTTTCAAACAACGGAAGAAAAAACTTATTCAAACTCAAAACATGCAAATCTGAAGTAATTCAACTGCCTAAAAAAGTTAAGTAGATCATACTACTGTCCTTAAAATACCATGCCAAGCCTGTTAACAGGATTGTTTATAACTATTTATTTCAACTCTGACACACCCAGAAGTGATATCGGGTAATGTAGGCTCAACTGCCTCCACCTGTGAGCAAAGCGCATCCAGAGTTCTAGGAGACTTGAGATGGGCTCTTGTATAAATGCAAAAGCTAAAAACCCAAACCCACTACTATCAAGTCGATTCTGACTCACAGTGACCCTACATAGAGTTTACAAGGCTGTGTTATCTTTATAGGAGTAGGCAACCTCATCTTTCCCCTCGGTAGTTGGTGGATTTGAACCCAACCACCTTATTTATGGTTAACAGCCCAATGCTTTACCCAAGAGAGACACCAGGGCTCCTAACAAATTCAAAGACACAAAAAATCCGGACTTCAAACTGGTTCATTCTGGTTCTACTGAGTATCAGCTGGGGACTAAATATGATTAAAATATAGATTCTGATTCAGTACAATCTGGAGTGAAAATGCAAAAGGGGAGTAGGGGGTATGCCATGAACTGGAATGAACCATGAAGCCCTGATTAAAGCTGGGCTACTCTTCAATACCACCAAAAATAGCCCCAATAGTAGTGACTGCTTACTCCATCCTGGCACTGTGCATGCTTTGAAAGTATTATCTTCTTTAATCCTCACAGCTGCCACATTACGTAAATACCAGCAGAGTTTAATCACTTGCCCATGGTCATAAGCTCAACACCCCCCCCCAACACACACACACACACACACTCAAAAAGTGCTGGAACCAGGATTAAAAGCCCCACAGCCTGACTTTTCTAACCACAACACTAACACTGTCAACCAATGGGAGTAAAACCAGGCTCTCTAAGTAATTTAGAAATATCTGGTTATTTCCACTTTATGCATCAGTTTTAGTAAACACTTTCCAGAACATTTTTATATTAATATATTTATAATAGCAATTACAATAAATTACTAAGCCTATCAGAACCTCAAACTTCGTGACAAACGAATTTACTGAAAAACATGGCCTTACAATGAGGAGTTAGGTGAGTGGAAGCTGGCAGGTAGCTACGTTTAGCCCTTAATGCACAAGCACCCCTGCAGCAGGCCCTTCCTGCAGCTGCTGCTTTGGCGCAGTCCTCCTTGCACTGTTGGCTAACACCAACCTCAAGGAGCTGTTTTTCATGATAGGTCCCAAGCGGTTTCCCATGTTCTCTGCTTAACCAAGCAACCTCCAAACTGACTCTCTCAATTCACCAGTACAAGTTTTTGCTTAGGGCCCTGGGCTGCCTATGTACCTGCTTTTGACTGAGCTGGAGAGATGTTAGCTACATCCTGAAATGTCCTCTAAGGAAGAAGGATCCAATAGAATTTTGTGGGACAGACACACGTACAACAGCCCTAACCGTAAGTTTTTTACCATTGCGTAAAAGGCCAGAATGTCTGTACAATGCTCACTCTGGTGGAGTCTGAGCCATGGTAGGATCCTTGGAGGGCAGGGCTTCTAAGAGGAGAAAGTATATCTCCTTGTAGAGAAGTAGAAAAGTTTTCGGAGATACAGATTGAGTATGAAAGTGCCAAAACCAAAAAAAAAAGAAAAAGTGCCAAAACCACGGTAAGGGGGAGAAGAGAAACATGAGCTGCATTTGTGAAACACGGGAGCAGTGGTTCTCAACGTGCTGTGACCCTTTCATACAGTTCCTCAGGTGGCAGTGACCCCCAACCACTAAATTTGTTGCTACTTCATAACTGTAATTTTGCTATTGCTATGAATCGGGCGACCCCTGTGAAAGGGTCGTTCGACACCCACCCCCAAAGGGGTCGCGACCCACAGGTTGAGACCTGCTGCCTTAGAGGGTGATTTGGGCACAAGCAGCCAGAAAAAGGGAGCCAGGGAGGAGTTGGCGGCAATAGCGCAGGCCAGAAGCAGGCACAGTGGGGATTCTGGAAACAGAATGGAGGTGATAAGGAAAGGAACTCTATAAGGTGAACATAGTCAACATGGCAATCAGGTCAGTGGCAGGGCCAAGACAAGGTTGAAGGCTGCAAAAAGGCAGTTTGAGGGGATGCTGTGTAGGACCCCCTCAAGAGAGGCTGTGGTACAGAACTACCCCCCACTCAGGGCCTAGTTTTGCAATCTCTAGAGCTATCCTTGGGCATGCTCTGGATGTCCCTGCACACAATCTCCACGGGCACTCATCCTGGGCCTACTACTACTGCCCCCTCAGTGCCAGCCTCCAACCTGTCAGTTGCACATCCTCCAAATTCACACACTATCTGCCTCTAGCTTCAATGAACATAATTTAGCCCTTTTCTTTTCTCTGTTGCTTCATCACAGCCACTTAGTCTTCTCACCTTTCCAAAGTCTAAGTATTATTCATCGATGCGCTCTACATCTCATTTAAGCCATCCACAATACCTGGGTCTTTATCCAAGTCAATGATGGGAAAACTGGACAGGTCCACTCTCTCATTTGTAAGTTACAGTAACATGTTAAGCAATGTCTTACTGAAATCTAGAAGCTGTATTTTATAACTACAGCATTCTCGTTGACCTGCTCAGTGACTGTTACAAAAGGTCATGTGATTAGCCAGGTGTGCCACATTTCCAGTACATCATGGCTCTTCTTTCCAAGCAAGAGCTCAGAAGCCATCTCTCACAACTGGCTCTCGGAATCTGGTCCAGGATCAACTTCTAATCTCTTCATTTTCTGAAAAGTAGGTGAGGCTGACCTTGTAGAACTCCCCACAGCTGTTGAGCAATCTTATCTGCAAATTCCAAGGTCAAGCTAGGTTAGGGCCCTGGCCTAGGTCATTTACATTTGGCAACCGTCCTGGGCCTCACCCATCCCGTTCTCACCCATCCACATTTGCTTAGCTCTTTGCATGGACACATTCAACTACAGCAACGATGACAAGGTTGTTCCATTTCTTCTGAGAGCACAGGCTTCTCGACTGAGGTCCAGGCTCTCCAATCCTTCCCCTATTCCAAAGTATGACCCTTCAAATTCCTACTGTAGGCCTCTGCCTTTTCCTGCTGTCCTCACTAGTCAGTGAGTTCCGATGAGCTCCTCCTGGGGACGCCCACTTTGTGTTTGTTTTCACTGAAGCTTCTCCTTATCATACTAATTTGGGGGCACAGTCTGGCCAAACTTCTCAAAAACTTTTTGACAGTCTCTGACCATCTAAGACCTCGAAGTCATTAAGCTTTACTTTGAGCCCGACACCACCACCACCACCACCCCCCGCCCATCTGTTCTAGTTCCTCTCTTGGCTGATCCCTAGCAGTCTCCCCATCACTCGCTCTAAGGAAGCCATTCAGATTACCTGGACTTCTGTCAACAGGCAGGGAGTGGCCCACTTTATACGTGTTGTTGCTCTCCCCTGCCCCCTCTGGCTTCTATGCAGATGTCACTTTCCCAAGGAGCTCCTCTTCCTGCAGGACCGAGAACTCACCCTATGGGTTTTTGAGTGTAGTGTATGGGTGTAGGGAGTTTGGTCTTTCTGCTGACCTGGTGATTAACAGCCCAACTTATAACCCACAATTGCCACCAGGGTTCCTGACACTCAGTCAGACAAGTTTCCCTTTATTTTTCTCCTTAGTATTTATAATACACTACAGACTTTCCTTTTCTTACTGATGAGAAAAAAACCTTAATCTTCTTTGGTCTACACTTTTAAGAGAATGTCTAGAATGAAAAGGTTGCCTAGTAAACACTGAGTAAAGAAAATGAATTTTAAGATGAAATGTCAGCAAGGCAAGTTATGAAATGAAAAGCTGCCCTGAGGTTATGAGGAAGAACAGTGAATTTCGCTTTTGGTGAGGATGAGCCGGGATTTAGTTGCTGGCAGCATGGGTCAGGGATGAGTTTCTGATGGGGGGTGATGGAACTTGTGGCAGGTCTGCGATCCCTAGGCATTACCTGGCCTCGTGTAGAGATTTAGGGCTGATCCCAAAATGAAGGCTATGCGCCTACCTGGTCTTGGTAGTCCTGGGAAAACATCTACCATTCATTCCATTCTATTCACACTCCATTCAATAGGCCTTCAGCTTTATTATTGCAATTTATTGCTCATCTCTCTCTTTTCAAATTGTTTCTCTGAGATAATTTCTTCTGAAATTATCCGAATATCCTTGTAGCTGGTAGTCTTTCCACCTTTAAAGGACTATACAGTTAACCCTTGAGCAAACATGTCTAAATGACATGAGTACATTTATATGGATTTTTTTTTTTAATGTTGTATGATGCTCATTCTCTTCTCCAAGAGCTCTGTAGTGGAGGGAGGGGATCTCATCGTTCTCAATTATTTTTCATCTTGTTTAGTGCAGTATCATACACCTTGAATGATACCATGTGCCAAAACAAAGTGCCATACCGATGCTAGAAGTGCTCCCAAGAAGCACAGAGAAGTCAAGACACAACAAGAGAGAGCTGACTTCCTTATGGGGTGGCATAGACAGGTCTGTAACTGTGCTTGCTGGCCCCTTCAAGATAAATGCATAAGCATCAGGGTAACCATTAGAAAGAGCTCTTAAAGCTCTTGTTCTTGTACTTGTGTGAAATACCTTTTTTGTTGTTTAGTTCTTCTGTATTTTTTTTTAATCATTTTTTTGGGGGGGCTCTTACAACTCTTGTTACAAACCATACATGAATTGTATACAACATATTCATACATATATTCCATCGTTCTTTTCTAGACATTTACTTTCCATTGAACCCTTGGGATCAGCTCCTCTTTTTTTCTCTCCCTCCTCCCCCCGAAAGACCTTTTTTTAAAAATACCTTTTAATCTCATTTTAAAATGCAGTTCTTATATGAGTTCATTTATAAGTAACTGCTTTATATTATTAAGGCTTCTGACCAATAGTAGGCTATTAATAAAGCTGTTGGGGAGTCAAAAATTATATTTGGATTTTTGATTGCACAGGGGCAGGCACCCCTAGCCTCCATGTTGTTCAAGGGTCAATTGTACTTCATTCATTTCAATGAGTGATATAAATGACAAAGGTAAATGGCCATTTTTAATGGTTAGTTCATAAAATAGTTTATCACCATCAAACCAGAACTTCGTTTCCAATAATAAAAAAGTCTTTAATACAAAGTGGTAAGTGTAGTAGGGACAAGTTAGAATACTTTCCTATTGTTATGTTTTCAGTTAAGACTTAAGGTTGACACCTGCAACACTGCAGAGGGAAGAACTACTGCTACTTGGTGAATTTCGTTATGTTCTTTTCATTTTTGACACCAATTCACTTTCCTACTTGACTCAGACAAGGCTTTAAACATCAGCCTATGCCTTGGGCTGTCATGGAGATGCCCAGCTGTCGGTTATAACAGGTTACTGATGCCACCCTAAGTAGTCTGAGGCTGTGTTTCCAGAATTGTGGGGTTCCTCCTTCAAACGGGTGTTCTGCCTTCCTCCTCTTTGTACCATTGCCTGTCAGCCTCTGAGGCCATCTGCATCCTTTTTAATGTGTTTACAATCAGTAGAGGGCAGGAATATCTGTCCCTACACTTATACTCAAAGGGAGGCTCTGAACACAGACCCGAGGACCTCTGTTAAGTAAAATGGATGGATCTGAGGCCTCTACCCTCTGCCTACTTCCACAGATGCTGGGCTGAGTTAAAAGAAAAAAAATCTTTAATAAAAGTTCACCAGAAAGTTATAATTGTAAAGAAATTAAATAGAATGTTATATTTCATATAGGAACCAGATTATCAAAATAAATAAATAAAAGGGTGGTATAATACATAACCATCTAGAAATTATGATTTCATTGATCCTCTCTCCTTTTTCTGCTTCACTCACAAACTATAGCATGTTTTCTGAACATCTGATATAATTGCCCATTTGCTTTTCCTTTCTTGAACTGTTGAGATTTTAATGTTAAGTAAAACGGGTATAAGAGCCACAATATATTATCTACATTCTAACTGCGGTTTTTCCATCTCCCTACTGCAGTCTAAAAGCTCACCCTATTGAGAGAACACACAAGCCCATGAACAGTGCTGCAGCAATTGCCTTAAAAGGCATGAACTCGACACATTATAAGTGCTCTACCATAGGCAAATTAAATTATATTTCAGTGCAACGGAAAGTACACTAATTGGCTTTTAGCTGAGGCATTAAAAACATGGTACAAAAATGATGAAATGCTCCTAAAAGGCTTTAAGAATAGCATGTATTCCAGAAAGACTCAATGTAGAAACCTCTGTTAAGTGAACTGACATACTACTTTGGGACACCCTAGTGCAGGCGTCCTCAAACTATGGTCCATGGGCCGCATGCGGCCCGCCGAGGACATTTATCCGGCCCGCCGGGTTTTTTTACCCCGTTTTTTTGCTTCAAAATAAGATGTGCAGTGTGCATAGGAATTTGTTCATAGTGTTTTTTATAGTCCAGCCCTCCAATGGGTCTGAGGGACTGTGAACTGATCCCCTGTCTAAAAAGTTGAGGACCCCTGCCCTAGTGTGAAAAGCAGAGGACTTCAATCCCAAGATTATGAAATTGGGACTATTGAACTTTGGTCCAACTCTCTTGCTTCGAGGGTGCCCAATGAATGGTGGCCTAGGACTGCCATATATTTACTGTTTGACAGCCTACCTTGCTTTCGTATGTATGACATGTATCGCTCTGGGGCATGGTTCTTTGTGAATGAATATTGACATTTTTGTCCTATCACCAACCCCCATTGTTTGTGCAAATAGTGTTCAATCACTTCAAAGTTTAATCAGTATAAGTCACTATTCATATGCTGTGATTTGAAGTCAGTCTATACTTGTATATTTTCCTTTTCTTAACAGTATTTTAAATTCTATACACTGGCTAAACTAATAACACTATCAAGAGAATTACCTTTGCCCCAGGGGGATGATTTATAATGTTCTCCATCACAAAGGATAATGAACCAGAGATATATAAACCATATAGGTATATGAATGGATTTGGGGCTCACACTTAATTATGGGCCCTAATCTAAGATGTTCACCCTTATGAAGGGATCACTAAAGATATGGGTATTATAGTGTAGTGAACAAACCAACTGGTGTCCAGCAATCAGAAAGAATTGTGGCTGGTGTCTTAAAAGCTTCTCTTAAAACAAGCAGCCATGTAAGGGAGGTGTGTCAACTAAGTACATATGGAAGAAGCACACCAGGCTGTGTGAGCCAAGGATTGTAAATAATAAAATTCAACTCCAAAGGAGAGAATGGTATTAGAGCTTAAATTGTGAACCTGGAGTTTGCAGAAGAAAAGAAAACCCTACTGCCATCAAGTAGCAATTTTAACTAGATATAGCTAGTTAAAATGTAATACCTTATCATTTGATCTCCCTCAACACACTTTAAAGTTGCTTCTGTTTTTAACGTTTTCTACTTTTTTTCCAATTGAGATTTTTTTCTGTTTTGTCTAGTCATTGTTGGTTTTCTTATGTTTTTTTGCTTCCTTTTTGTGCTCTGTACATGAAATTTTCTGTACATGAAATCCAGGCTGGGAAGATCTACAAAGAGTAAATGGATTGATAATTGCCTAGGGGCATGACAGGGAGGATGGAGGAAAATGGGGAGCTAACAAGGAGTCAAGAAGAAAATGTTCTGAAAAGGACTGCGGTGCTGACTGCACAAATCTCAGTCTGACTGAGCAGTCACATTGTATGATAGGTGAAGTTTAAATAAACAAAAGAAGAACCTGTATTAACCTTCCCCCTATAATAAAAGCAGTCAATTATTTCAGATATAAGCCGCCACCAAATCCTTTCCTTCCCCACAGGGTCATCTACTTGGGAGATGTTCTTTCTCAATGACCTGGGAGGCAGGCCAGTAATATAAATAATGTGATTTTCAAAAGAATCATTCTCTATATAACTTATAAATGTTTGATGATATTCCTGTCTCCTCAAAAATCAGAAATTTGTCAGATATTACTTACAGGTGGAAGCCATATATTAATGAACATGAACGCTTTCGAAATTTGGAGGTGCTTCTGTTCTGAATTTGCAAGGTCCATTCATTTTTTTGTGCTTAACTTTTCATGGGGGCCTTTTTTGGGGGTGGGGGGCTGTTTATCTAGAAAAGTAAATCTAATTGCGTTTAAATATAAATATTAGCAGTTAGGCTCTTTGGCATTTTGTTTTATTATACTCTGAATTTTGAAGAGGTGATTTTGGGGGAACATACTTCATTTTCAAGAAAATACTGCCCCTACTTGCTAACATGGTTAAAGGTAGGCATCAAAAACCTGACCGAGAAATGTTGACCATATTGAGAATATGTACAAACTATAGCTACATTGAGTTAAAATATTATCTTTTTCCAAGTGGCAAAGGTGTTTAAATTAAAGTAAAAACACTGACACGGCTCCTACACTTGAAGATAAGTTTATTCCATCGAGAAATCCAAAATCAATCCCAAGTAAAAGCCTCAGAGAACCTGTTTCAGGAAGCTCCCACCTCTCCTTTGCCCAACTGTTTGACCATGGGGATGTCAGTTCCCCTCTTTCTCGAACACAGAATCTCTTAAGGTCCTTTCTAGGATTCATGCACTCCTCACAGCAACAGAGTCTTACATGTATTTAAAGTGCTTCAAAGCATGCCCGCTATGTGCTTGCAAGAAGGCCCCAACAAATGACTATAGGGCACAAAGTATACCATGTATACTACACAGTATACAACAACCATTTCAAATTTTGTTCACTACTTTCTAATGATCCTGAAAACTCGAAGATACCAATTTAAAGCATTGTGAGTCCAAGGTGAACACTGGAATTACATGGAGATATAATACTTTGGGGGGAGTAATATCTGTAAGTTAAGAAACACAGTTGGTCTTATTCCCTCTGGTCTTCCCTGGGCTGACAGCTAATAGGACTCACACAGACCCCATACTTACCATGCCATTTGCCCTTATAAACAGTCCCAAATGATCCTGACCCAATTCGGGTGGACAGCATCACTTCACTGGCTTCTATTTCCCAGTAATAGCTTGAATCTCTCTGTCCACGAGGTCTCTGAAACAAGGAGAGATCGATAACATACACCATGGAATGGCAAACGGTTATTTAATGAGGTCATCAAAGAAAAGATCTAGCTCATCCCACTCTCGTATCTTTTAAAGACGGAGAAACCAAAGCCCTACTGTCATCAAGGAGTGAGCCTAAGGAGAGTAGAGCTGACCCCATAGTTCCCCAGGTTGTCAACCATGACAGATGCTGATGGCCACATCTTTCTCCCACAGGGTGGCTGGTGGGTTTAAACTGCCAATTTCTTGGTATGCGCGTGGGTCTTTAACCACTGTGCCACTGGGGCCCCAAAGACAGCCAGCCATATATAGTTAAGGAAATGCTTCCAACTCACAATGTTCCACATTAAATGTGCCCATCTTACATAATAGCAAACGAGCAAGCTGTCACTAACATTTTCTATCTCCTTCAAATGGTGCATTTAGAGTAAACTCCCAAAATAATGTGAAAGCAATCTAATTTCCAACTAGGATTTCTCTTATTAACCCTAATCACAAGAGGTACTATGGGTCACACTCACAATTTTGTTTTTCTCCTGGGTCCCGGATCCTGGTGCCCGCTCTCTCTGTGCCGGCACAGGGGTTTTGGGCTGGGACCAGCCTGTTGGGCTCAGGTTGTTGGGACTGCTAGACAAGGCTGAAGGTGAGGCTGGACAGACAAGACAAACAGAATCCACATGTGGGTAAGCCCAAAAAGGTACACAGAATAAAGACAAAAAGCCCATTTCTATTTGGCGCATGAATATGGATAAGTACCTGATTCACTGTGGCTTCGAATTGCATCCTGAAAAGAAAAGGCAAGCTGGTCAGCTTCTATACCAGAAACTTTTTATCGGGGGGCAGAGAGGGGATTTTCAGCAGCCAAGTAGACTATAAAACTTCTACACTATAGACACATTAAATATATACTCTAAATTCACCAAATCTCAGTGGCCAGAGCCTCCAAAAAAAGTTTTTTTTTATCAAATATCACTATTTACATTAATTTTTCACATATAGTACAAAACACATTCATTTTTTTTCCAGAAGAAAACAATGCAGAAAGTTAGCAAACTAATAGTTTATAAAGAAGATTAGCAAAGTTATTATCAGTTGAGGTCCTTCAGAGATTGGAAAGTTTGCTCTGTTATAGCTCCAAAATACCCTAAATAAGAAACAAAACGTGGGTTGGGTGGGAGCTCACTCATACTCCACTAGAAGGAGCTTAGCGCACATCTGGTAGATGTGGGATTTGACAAAAAAGAAGCACATCATGACTACCTATTTTATCCAAATCCAAAATCATGGAAAGTTCGAAGGATCACAAATCCTCCAGTCTACAATCTCCATTTTACGTATACAAAAACATCTGAACGGACAAAGAACTTGACGCAGGTAGTGGAGGAAAGGACAAGGAGCAGTCCATGGATCTCAGGCCAGAATATTTCACCACAAGTGCTGCCTCCTATCTTACACGTAAAACTCAGTTAGATTCCACTTAAGTGATAAGTCAAAGAGCACCCTTACAATTTTAGAAACTCTTCAGGGAATAATTTAAATCACGCGCCTATACAAAACTCAATCTTAATTTTTAAAATTCTCAATAGAATGGAAAATACACTCACATAAAACAACTTGACGTGGTTTTCTTCTGGGAAGTGTGTGTGTGTGTGTGTGTGTGTGGTGTGTGTGTGTAACCACAGTCAAGGCGGAATTTTCTAACACAACTCTCCTGAAAATGCCCTCACGCAGAGATAAATAATCTACCACGCTGCTCTAGTTCCTTCTTGGACAACTTCACCCAAACATCTTACGAGTTTATCCATAAAGACAGGTTCTGGGGTTCCCAACAGATTTCCAACTACCTTCTCCTTCACTGGGTTGATTATGTCTGAGGAGGGGAATATAGTAAGTCTAGAAATCTGTATTTTGGTGCAGGACAGGAAAACATGGGTCAGAAGTCATCTGAATTTCAAATACTCAACAGCTGTAGCTTCATTAACTAATCTACAGTTTTCATTTTATAAAAAGTCACACTGAATTTTTACTAGCCACCATTATATTTTCATGTATAAGGATATTTTTAATACCACAGTATTTTACTTTCCTGTATCGCTTATATACTTCACATTTTAGTTTGTGCTAGGTTCAACAACTAGATTGATTATCCTAATAGAAATTTTCCTATCATCCTGTAATCGAAATTTCAGCCCAACAATTACACTGTGTTTACATAAAAGCAACATGGACTTTAAAATGCTGAGTCGTCATGTGATAAAAATTAACCATGTGATTAAAATATATATATATGTATATGTAGTGCATCTAAACTACAGGGAAGATTAGAAAAAGGTAAGATAGTTACTTAATAAAAATTCAATAATTTTCACTTTTAATGTCTTCTCTAGTAGTGTGCTTACTACATAGGAGGAGGTCATGTAATAGAAGAAAAGTAACCAGAATATTATTTTATTATTATAAGGGCTAATCAAAACAAACAGTAATAATTCATACATGATTTGCCCATAATCACTGTATTATAGACAAACTACCCTCACAGGAATTGGATACATTCCGAAGCCCACATTTTTGCCGAGTTCCAACCACCTCTCATTAGTAGGACAAGTACAGTACAGTACAACCTGTGAAGGCTGGAATCTGTGTTAAGCAGATAACAGTGAAAAATGGAAAACTCAATATATTCCACTAAAACAATTTTGAAAATTGTGAGACCAAAGAAAACAAAGCAGTCCTGTCGAGTTCCAGCTCTCACAAGATTTACTATATACTGGAAGTGGCCTGAGGTAAGAGAAAGAGAAATTATGCCTGTTTACAAATGTCCCTGGGTTTTTTAAAGGAACTATTTATGATGTAGAGAGTGTACAGTTATCCCTGCCAAACTTTTAATAACAAATATTCCAACCGAACTGATGTGAGCACCAATTAAATAAGTCTTGGGTTGGGATATACACACACACACACACACACACACATGCACAAAATTTTTTTGTTATTGGCCTCAAAAATCCCACTTGAGAAATTTATCTATCAGCAATACCACACACTCCCATGTTGAATATGTTAAATATACTTCATTGCCAAAAATGAAAACATGGAAACGAGTCTGTCGAGAAATAGAAAATTTAAATGAACAATTGTGTCATTTTTGATAGTCTACTGTCTACTGTCTGAATCTTAGCAATCCTGTTAATGACAAGAAAGCAAAGGCATGAAGAATAATACCTACTCTTCCCCTCAAACAAAATCGTCTGGACCACGCCCTGGGAGAAGCATTCAGGCTGTTATTCTAGTCCAAAGCAATGAGAAATAAAGAAGAATAAAGAACAAAGGAAGTACTTTAAGTGTCTTAAGTTGTTATTAAAGATGAACCAGAAAGCAAACCAAACAAATAGAACATATCAAAAAGTAGAGAAAAGGAAAGGCAGGTTGAAAATACTCACTTTGAGAACTTTTATAATGTCCCTAAATACTAAATTGTTAAAATGCTAGGATTTCATTCTTCTATTTCTATATAGAATCACTTAAAAGTCTTCCAGAGAGTTTGTAGTTCTTCATCACGATTTTAATAAAACTACTTTTTGTCTTATTCTAATTCACTAAAATCCTACTGAAAACTGACATGGAAATAAATTAACATGTTAGCTTTTTTTTTCCCCCAAAAATTTTAGTTCTTCACTTGAATGATATAACAATTGAATTATTTAATCAGTACATAAGATGCTATGAATTAAAAAGAAATTTTTAAAGTTCAGGGGCCTGAGAAAGTGCCACACATTCCTTATCAGGGTTGAAACTCTACAGTCAACCCCACCTATAACAACTAATCCATCACCACTCAAAACAGTTTACCCAAGGGGCCCTATTACCTCTATCACCCTGCTGTCCACAGGCAGAGTGGTGCTGACCATGTGGACATTGGGTGTGGATGTCGACCGCTGCCTCTGGGAGAGTGAACCCTCAGAGGAGGAGCTGGAAGTGTTGAATGTGAAGGCGTGGGGTGTAGAGTATCTGTGCTGGGAACTGGGCAAAAAGGAGAGAGAAAATCCCGTTAGTGGCACGCAAACTTCCCATTGATTAAGTCTTTCTACTGCTATTGCTACTTCATTAAGAAGCCCAGGAGCAGTTGCTACTCATACCATATTTTCTGACAGTTTTCAATTCTATCAATATACACAACTTAGAAACTCTAAGTGCTCTTGCAGGCAAATTTTTGCAAAGAAAATAATTACCATATATACTCGAGTATAAGCCGACCCGAATATCAGCCTAGGCACCTAATTTTACCACAAAACTGCATTAAAAAATGTACTGAAAAACTCAGCTTATACTCAAGTATATACAGTATGCGTTCTTTGACATCCTATGAAAAGTAGAAAAATACATCTTCTAAATAAACCACCTCCACAGAATACTCCAAAATTTTACAGCATCTTTAGAAAGGAATGGCTTAGCATTTGCAAACTACACCATCACTTAATAAGCAAGGTGAAACTTTCCCCATTCAATATGGAGACTAAGTGAGCAAACTTTAAGGGAGAATTTTACAGAAAGATCTGCTGTGTATGTCCACAAAATAGGACGGATTTTACCCACTACGTATGCTTCCTCTCCCCCTGCCCTTGTTAACTAGCTCACTAAATTTATGTGAATTCCACTGTTAGGTTACACATCTAACTCTAAAACTCATCACTGGCCTCTTGCAGTCAATGCCACTGCTCAACCTACCAATCTGGGAGCATGTACTAATAATACGTACAGCATTTTTACTATTTACTCTAAAGATTAGTTAGAACTTTACTCAGGTTCAAATAACAACATGACATGACTTCAAGGGATAAAGGGCTAGTTTTTCTAAGGGAAAATTGTTTTGTGTTTAAAAAACTGCCTTGCTACACATTTCAATTCTTCCTTTAAAGGCTTCATTTTTTCTCTCTGAAATTCCCAGAGGTTTCATGTGTCTAGTATCTCCAGGGGAAAGTTCAGTGTTTTGGATAGACTTGCTTTTCAATTTTTTTTTAAATCATGTACAAGTACACATCCAAATATCACTTCAATACAAGTTCCTTGTTCTGAGCTTATTTCCTATAAAAATCTCCATGGTAGTTTTACAAAGGCCATCATCAATATACTTTTACATATGTGGCAGATAGAAATTTGAAACAAAAACAAATTTTATTTTAGGTTTTAAATTAATGTGTTATATGGAGGGAATCATAATAAATTTAACAAAATTCTAATTTTAAAGCTGGGAAACATAGTAAAGGCATTTTACTCATTTTAGAGTAAAATAATTGGCTCATTAAAGCAGACACTATGAGTAGCAGTGTATTAAATACCATAGTTTTAGCAATGTTGGACTAGACGAAGCCCTACAGTGTTGAGGATTTTATTTTTATTATAACTCTGTATACAGTTTCCAAATCCTTTCCACTGAGATTCAAATCACTATTTACTGAGGAATGCCATATCATCTTAGGTTCTTTGCGCTATTATGAGATATTATATAGATGCACTATTATTACAGCAGAAGCTGCAGCAGCCACTTTCCAGAACAGAAAAATAAGTGACCAACACAAAAAGTTCTACATTCTAAACACAACACAAAACCCAAATCTCTGGACACCAAAGACATAGCAAACAGCAGAGGGAATAATGGCAACCTGTTTTTTGTAGCAGCTTTCTATTCTTTCTCCCCCATAAAAGAAAACTTCTAGGTTAAAAATTACCTGACAGGCATCCTGGAAACAGATTCTCGCATCCGACGCATGGTCAAGGAAGGTAGTGCTGGGACCCCACTATCACTAAGAGTGGAATTTGGAAACAATCTAAATAAAATCATGAAAAGACTGGTTCATAAAACTACAGTAATTTTACAGAACAGTGCAATGTCAAGTCTGCCTTCATCTTACAAATTCACAGCACCTCAAACTAAACTTTTCGGTTACATTTTTCTCTGCCATTTAAGCTACCCCAAATAAAGGAGCCTAGTGGGTTGAGCTGATAGTTATACAAGGTCAGCAGTTAAAAACCACCCGTTGCTCTGTAGGAGAAAGATGAAGTTCCCTACTCCCGTGGGCAGTTTTCATTGTGTGTTACAGGGTCACACTGAGTCTAAAACAACTCAACAACAGTGATTTAAACACTTGGCAGCTAACCGAAATATCAGAGGTTCGAACTCACCATAGCTTCTTGGGAGAAGGATATGGCACTCTGTTTTCATTAGGATTTACAATCTTAGAAACACTATAGAGCAGGTTCTATCTACCCTGGCCTAAAATTTTACTACTGGTTAGAATTGACTCAAGGGCAACAAACTATTTTGTTTCTGGTTTAGAGCAAAGGGACTACCAATCTAAATGGGTATGAATTTGAAATTTCATCCACAATTCTATAGAATATGAAAGCTGTAACTAAGACTCTACCTGCACTTTTAGAAAAGCAGAATTGTAAGATAATAAACATTTCCTGCAACTGACTGAAGCTTCCTCATAGACAGCCATCTATATAACTGGGTTGTCTCAAGAAAAATACAAGCATCTTCTAATTTTTTTTTACATTCAAATCATTTGAAGTCCTAACAATGCTTTCTGCAGTTTGAAGTGAAGAAACTGCACCAACTAAGCTTTCTGCTCCTTCTTGATGTCAATGGTTTATTCACTGAATTTAACAAACTACAGAACAATGCATACTGCCAACCTAGAAGTTGATAGCGTTAACAGGCGAAAGCAAAGTATCTTCTCTTTCCATGTCCTTTTCTTTTTCCCATTCTGTTCCTGACTGATTCACAGCCTGTCCAGCTCTATGTGAGAAATAAAAGATTCGACTTGCTCCTTTTGGAGGATGATAACTGCCTGGTTAAACTTAGCAGCTTCGCAACTATTGAGTTTCTAAAGCAGAAGGTCAAAACAATTCATCTACCAGTCGGAAACTCAGGTTTGTCAGTCAAACAAAACCCAAACCCGTTGCCACCAAACTGATTCCAATTCATGATGAACCTATAGGACACAGTAGAGCCAATCTAGAGGGTCCCAGACTGCAAATCCTTACCGAAACAGAATTTACAGAAGCCATATCTTTCTTGCTCGGAGTGGCTATTGTTGTTAGGTGCCATCAAGTCAGTTTGTAGCACTGCTAGGCCCTGAACTACCTCACAATTATTATTATGTTTGAGTTTATTGTTGCAGCCACTGTGTCAATCGTCTTGTTGAGAATATCCGCCCCCCCACCCCCGCCACTGACTATCATAAAGCAAGCTGACCTTTTCCAGGGACTGGAGTAGCTACTGGGTTCAAACCACTAACTGTTCAGTTAGCAGTCAAGCATTTATCCACTGTACCATAACTACTCTCAAAAGGGTTTGTACTAACCCCCACCCCCACTCCCCGCCACTGGTAATGTTTCTTTTCTATTTCTGGAGGAGTGAGGGTGGTTGGGGGAGAGAGGGAATGATGCCTTACAAGAGCTGTCTTATATTACTCCAGTCCACACACATAGTAGGTACTTTGGTGCTACAGTGCTCGTGAAATTTGTAGCCACAAGTCTGACATCGAAACCCATTTAGCAGAAACTTCTGACAGATATCACAGAAGGCAAGCTTCAGGAACGTTTTCCGAGCCTAGAACAATAAAAACACAGGTGTAAATCATGCTGAATAAATGAAGTATCACAGAAGACAAAATTATTTGTTCTTTGGCCAATAAATAAGCTTTTACCGCAGGAAAAAATACACAGCCAACATTTACAAAATTTCTAACTGGAAATATACTTGTGTATCAGCCAAGTTTTTCTGGCACATTTTTTATGCAGTGTATATGGTAAAATTAGGTGCCTTGGCTGGTATTCAGGTTGGCTTATACTTGAGTATATATGGTATATTGATAATTAAGTCTAAATTGCCTTACAGCAAAGGCGTACAGAACTTTAAACTATCCAATAATGTGTTATTCTCACGAAGAAATTCCTAATAAGCCACACAAGACACCTAGATATGGCACAAAAAGGGAACAGATATACAACTTACAAAATTGTGAGTTGTGAGGGGAACATGATCCAGGAAATCTACTTGAAGTTCTTCTCCAATCAAAGAGGCAGCATCAGTAGTCCAATCTAGACGAGCCTTTTTACTAAAATGAATTTTAAGAATCATAAGGGAGAGAATTAAAATATAAGAGTTCAATATCAGTAATAAGTAGTCCAAAAAAAAAAAAAACCAAACACATGGTCACCGAGTCGATTTTAACTCTCAGTAACCCATGCGACAGTACAGAACCACCCTTTGGTTTGCGAGACTGGGAACTTTCACAGGAGCAGACCGTCGCATTCTCTCCCGTGAAGCAGCTGGTGGGTTGGAGCTGCTGACCTTGCAGTTAGCAGCCCAACTCATAGCTCACTGCACCACCAGGTGTAACCACCATCTACTGCATCTTTCTGTACACACACAGTACAAAATATTTATATTTCATTCCACATAGCAAAGCCATGAAGTATTACTATCCTTACTTAATAGTACAACAACTGGGACTCATATTATGGTAATTTAATCAAAGCCACACAGTGAGTGCTGAGTTTGCAATGGAATCCAAGTCTGTTGGAATTCAATGCTTTTCCTCCATCCAAAGTATTTTTTTTCTTCAAACAATGAAATCATAACTACTCCTGATAAACTAAGCATATAATAAACTAAATGAAAAAAATAAACTAAATGTTGAAACACTTCAATCCCATACTGCTATAAAATGGGCTATAATGTTTAGTTTTCACTATCCTGCTTCAAGCTAGACAACAAATAAAGAACCAGAGATGGAACACACCTTCCTACAGATCTGCCTCGAACCGGTCCAGTTGTTTGTAGGATCCATAAATATTAAGTGGATGGGAAAATGAAACTAATCAAACTATTTCCAAAACTCTCTTAAATTTAAATGAGACCTCTCTTTGTGTAAACAATACAGAGAGATAAAAATCTAATGCTCAGCTCTTTTCCAGGTAATCTGGCTTATCTCCTAAAGCAAGATTTTTCTCAGGTCTAGAGATTTTATTTTTTTGGTCTAGCGATTTTAACACAGTTGTTACGTGCTATATTAAGTTGGTTGTGACTCATAAGAACACTATATACAACAGAAGGAAACACGGTTTAGTTCTATACCATCCTCACAGTCATTGCTCCGTTTGAGACCACAGTTGCTGACACTGTCAATCCATCTTATTGAGAACCTTTCCCTTAACTGCTGACTTTACCAAACAGGGTACACCTCTTTTCAGGGATTGTTTGTTCCTGATAACATGTCCACATCTATTCTTTTTACTTTTGTTTTAATTCTTTTTTCTAAGAAGAATTTTCACTGTATTTCTCTCATGGTAGATTTGGTAATTCTTCTGGCAGACCACAGCATATTTAATATTCTTCATACATAGCCCCAAATAAACCTCTCTGATTACCTGCCAGAAGCCTAACCACGTATCGTTTTTTCCTGGTTATCCAACAGCAAATTATTCACTGCTTAGTGTAATTCCCTATACAAGATCAGGGATACCCTACTACTAGACACACAAGTTTTGTTTTACGGTAATGGGGGTTTCGGTGGGGTGGGGTGGTTCCTCATCAGTGTTCAGGGACAGTTTGTTTTGGTAAAAAATCCAGGATCACCCCAATATAGCCTTGGGCTCTAGTAGATCAAACCCCTGTCTGTCTCAGAATCTCAATAATTCTTAAAGAGTTTTATAGACTGGCCTGGGTACCAACCAGGGTCCCTAACAAACTAATGTTGCCATCGGCTTAAAAGATTTGCAGTATGAAAAACTGCCTCCCAAACTGAGAGGAATAGCAATATTTATGCTTACTCTTTTCAGAAGATTCATTCAGGATTATTCTCTCCAACTGGAGAACTCCTAGAACCTGAAAGACTTGGGCTGAATGTCAACAGGAAAAGTGCCACCTTCCAAAAAGAGGGTTAAAAGAACCTCCTTAAAGGTTTCCCTCTATTTTAGGGGAATAATAGTAGATACTTACAGGCAATTCTGTGGCTTTAGAGTATTACTCTAAGTCTTTGAGGGGATATCTCTAACTTGCCATCATTATCAGAAAGATAAACTATAGATTTTTCCCGAAGTAGCAATTTTTAACTGTCTGTTAAACAGCAAGAACTCTGTAAATTTAAGCTGAATAAAAATGTGTGACTAAATATAAGATAATAAAATCTCCTAAGGACAGGATTCTTAAATTATAAAATAATAATGCAACACTTTAATAGCTACTCTATGCAATGCATTAGAGTAAATATAAGGAAAATACTTTGTCTCAAGAAAATACAGGATTTGACATTATTGCTTCCATGAATGAAAATATCACCAACACCTATTATATATTTTATTTTTGAATAGAATGCTCAAGCAGTAATTTTTCTGAATTATCTATTTATAAAGGGCATACAAAATACAAATATGTAGTATTCTATAGAAAGCTATATAATTTTTCTTAAAAAATAAAATATTATTTTAAGCTAGAAAGGTCTCCTCAATATGAAGAATGTGCTGTCTAATTTCTTACCCTTTGTGTTCATGGAGAAGACGGAACACTGCACAGCACTCTGGCTGTAAGCCCCTCACCTTAAGGGCTTTCATAAGGCAGTCATGCAAGGTCATTCCATTCCGCACATTGACCTACAAACAAAATATCATCTTTAGGACTAAGAAGATTACAGCCCTTCTTCGAAAAGTGAACAGAAAAATAAATGCAATTATCTATAGTGTTCACACAAAAGAATATTTGCGACAGCATCCTTGTAATGATATGAACACACACACACACACACACACAATCTGAATGTCCATACAAATGAGTATTTAAAGTGTGGAACAGTCAGATTATGTGACATAATAAAATTATAATGTAGCTACTGTATCATTATAATGAACTATTATAATAACCCGAGGGGTTTCCATGATATAGTACTTGGAAAATAAAAGAATGTGCACAAATTAAAAAGAGAAGCAGGGAAAGCCTATACATTATATATTTACATATTGTCTTATGAAAGTGGAAAGCTTGTGGAGA